AGCAGACATCTTCCTCAGAAAAGAAAGGCTCCATCGTTACTATGATGTAATATTCTTAATACGGCAAAATACAACAATACCAATTATTTTCAAAAATTAAATGACACGAACACTCTCTTTCAGATCCCCACTACTGGTAAATTTTTATCCATCATGGGTAAATATTTGAACTATACTTTTGTAACCTGTTAACCTACTCTTAAAACATCAATTAATTGCAACCCTTGTCCTTCCTGAAGAACGAATGAACAAGCTGAATAAGAGGGAGTCCAGTTGTGCAAAATACAGGAGGAGTTTGAAAGTCCTCTTGATAGGGACAACGGGTATAATTTAATATATGCAAATGTTGACATACTGCGGCAGGGAACAAAGATATTATGGACATTAGATGGAGTTCCTTCCTACTCATTACTGACATCACTGAAAATTTCAAGCTTTCATTTAAGAAGTGGACAAAAATTATCCTAAAGTTAAGTTCCCAAATACTTATTTAGACAGCTAGTTAAGTGGCCCAATTTCCAAAAATATTGGGCAGCCAGATGTTTCATGAAACTAAAACCAACAGAGGTTATATCATTCTCACACTTCTGCAAATTAGACATTTTATTTAGGAGCCTAAATAAGGATTTTGACTATAGTAGTCCATTTTAATTTTTTTTCCATAAGTGTCCTCCACAGAGGTGAAACAATGCAGCTGGGTGTCCGGGGCTACTGCAACACATTTCCTACTGCTGCCCAGTCACTGGCAGAGGCAATGGGTTTTTTTCCGTTTTCCTTTTTCCCCCCAAGTTGGCACCTGAGGCAGCTGCCCCGGTCACCCTGACCTAGTTCCACTACTGCTTCTCCACTCAACAGGTACAGCCTTCACCACACAGAGACCTCAGAAAAATTCCCCTCAGATTTTCAATGCTCAATGATCTTTAGGATGTAGGCACCAAACCAGTGAAAAAGGTATTTTGTGAAAAGAAGAAATAAAAAAAACTGTGGGAAACTAAAGCCCAGTTTAACTTGCAAAATGAAAATGAATGTGATATGATTTACTTCCTTGTTATGAATAGTTTCTACACACTCCATTACATATAGTTTCCATAACTCTCACAGGTTTCAAAGTTGTGTTTGAAAATCTATGCAAGCCTTCACATCTTAAGTCTCAGAAGTACTATATACTGAAAAACATTCAGGAAAAACTGCTCAAAACTGGAATGTTTTGGCAAAAGTTATAAAAAGCAGGTTGTTAAACATTTTTAACTATGATTTGAGTTAGCGTCTCGAACAATGGAAACTTCCCTAATCAGACTGTACAAGAAGGGAGGAAGACATGAAAGAGAATGGAAACAGATTTGGAAATCGATGAGATCACACACACGTACACTGAAAAATTCCAAACAAATCTGTGAGCGCCAGTAACAGTACAGGAAAGGTGGGGATTTGCTTAGGAAGAAGAGAATACAGACTACAGTAAATGCATCACCAAAAAAAGCAGAACTGAGAAGTTGTGAATAAAAAGACATGAATCTGCAAGACATTTACAGATTTACTGTAGGGCCACAAAATTGCAAATATACAATAAATCAGATAAACAGGATGCAACAGTTTAGTGAATCTGTCTTGTGCGTTCGAAAATGTAGGAGTTCCACCAGAGTTTATTAACTCTGTGTATAATTCCACCCAACCCTCAGAGCTTATTGAGTCATCAAGCTGTAGCAAAGAGTGGTCATTTATCTCCCAAGCCCTGTTTAACAATCTTGTTATCAGTGAATGATACTGCTTTTGTAGAATAGTAAATATGTTAGGAGGGCAGCCACACTAAAAGATGCCAGTTTTCCGAACTTGTTTGCAGTGGGTAGGATACTGGAGTAACTGGACCATAATGCAAAGAGGAATATTTAGATATCTGGAAATGTGTGCCCAGCAGGCCATAGCCAGAGAGAGAAAGGCTAAATATTTGCTCCTGCAGCAAATCCAAAAGGGCTAGAAGTTGCTGTTAAAAAGGGCATGCTCTTCACATAGGTAAACTTTTGGCCACTGGAACTGAAACATTTGATTGTATCCTATACAGTTCTTATTCAATGTTTCTAAATGCATTTCTAAATCTTCCTGTAGTGTATTAAGCAATGTGAAGAACATCTATTTTCATCCTCTACCCAGGGCAACAAATATGTACCACTATGTGCACTTGTGTTTTGTTTTGGTAAGGGGTTTTGCTTTTTTTTTTTTTTAATTAGCATTTGCATTCTTCTGAATTTATGCTAAAAAAGATAAAGTCAAAGATAAAGTCAAAGATAAACTCAAATGTGCTCTGCAGTTTGAGTGGAAGATGGTAAGGTTTGTGATGACCCTGGTTTTCTCCGATTCAAAAAAAATCCCCAATTTTTGGATTAAAAAAGTAACCCAAAATCCACATTTTCCACACACGCGTGTATGTATGTATGTATGTATATGTATATAGTAGCATTTCATTTTAATCACAGAAAATGTGGATTCTGGGTTATTTTTTTTAATCCAAAAATTGGGGATCTTTTTTTTTTTTAAATCAGAGAAAACAAGGATCCCATCCTTACATCTTGGGGAATAGGCCTTAGCACTGGTCACCAAGAAATTTCTGTCTCCCAGGCAAACTGTTACCCACTTTTAGATAGATCAATAGAGCAAACAGAGCATAGAGGTTGACAACAGGCTTCATCCTAGAGAGCTTTAGGAGATCATTTAGATACCATGGTTTCTGGCCATGTAGCACTAGAATATAGAGTCCTTGGACTTAATTAAAATCCTCTGGTTAGGGCACAGAGGACAGGTCTGAGGCACTCACAGTAGCCTGTGTCACCAAGGAGATGCACTGTAGCATCCTAGTACTGGAATTTTCAAAATGCTAAAGGTGTAGCACATTGATGAAGTCCAGCTGAAAGCATATAAATAAAAGGCCAGGATATCAGCTGCTATGATAGGACGGAGTCTCTTTGTGAGCCACAATCTCCTAGCTAATTTTTAATTGTCAAGCATGACTGCTGGAACGTGCTCTCCCCTGTACTTCAGCTAGTTACACAGGATACCAATGAAGTTTCTAATAAAGAAGCACTATTTGGTTTCTCCTCAGTGTCTGTCAGCTGGCTCAGTGAAGCTGAGTCTCATGTCTTATCAAAAACCAGCAGCAGAACTGCTTTTACTGTCTAAAGTCAAGAAATCAAGTGAACCTTTTTATCTAAGCTGATGCCCTCATGACAAGCTGGATGCTACCAATCAGATGCTCTAAAAACATGTGCTAATAAAAAGGTCCATGGTGTGTGTGCTAAGTAACATCACACTGAAACTCAGTCTGAATTTTTTCTCCATGTGAAAACTGAGAATGTGCAAATCTATTCTTAATATTTTCTATTGAAGATAGAAAAATTAAATACATTTTTACAAACTACTTGTTAAAGCAACAGATAGCATATACAATCAGAATATTGAGAAATTTGAAGATCATATCATTAAATATTCTTTTCCACCACTTAGTTTTAAGAAAAAAAAACCCCACTGGCAACCTTGTAATTACACTGGCTGCCCTTCTGCCTGTCTGTGACAGGCAGTAATACATGAATAATGGAGAACCCAAAAAGAAGTTCTACAAATGGAAGATCAGGTACACTTCTTTGATTTTAGAGTTATTTTTAGTAGCTACTGTCATTGATAACAGTGGTCAAAAGCCCCATTGAGAAATAGCCCCCTCCTACACACACACTACACTAGGTGCTATTCAAATAGACAGGAAGATGCTGTTTCTAGACCAAAGATCTTGCAGTCTAAACAAAAGATACTGACACAGGGATGGGGGAAAGGGATATATATATAGTCTGCCTGCATGTGTTATTTTATATCTATATATAGCTTAGCACTGTTTAATAATTATTCATAATCATTAAGTGACTAATATAGAATAGACTGATCTAACCAAACTTCTGTACATAGTTCGACTGCAGCCTCAGGGCTGGGCAAGCCCAAGCATTGGCTCTGGTCCAAGGGCTATGCTTTTCCTACACCTCTCCCCACCCCTCAACCACTCACCCCACCCCTGGATGGACAGCCCCTCCCCGTCAATCCCTCAAGCCACTCCTGGTGCTGGTTTTACTAGCATTTGCTGGTGCCAGAAGCCAATGTAAGTAAGTCAAGGTGGTGGAGAGGGTCAGGCAGGATCAAGTGGGGAGGGTGTGGAGATGGGGGTGGGTTGGAGGCTAAAAATAGACTCTGGCTGGAGGAGACAGCCCCCCTGATCCCACCAACCCTTTCCACCTAGCAGAACCTGCTAAACTTCCTTCCACAAAGTCATTCCCCCGCCCCCTAATTTACTTCAGTCAGGGCCCCAGTACTGGCGAATGCTGGTAAAACCAGCCCCAGGAGCGGATTGCAGGATCTGGGATGGTTCGACAGCATTGGGAAGGGTTAGGGGGATCCAAGGGAGTTTAGTGAGACCAGAGAGTCTCTCTGATCCCACCAAACCCCCCAAACCCCTCCAACCCCCTAACAGACCCCACTATGCCTCCATCTGCCCAAGCCCCTCTGCTAGGCACCTCCATCCTGCCCACCCCTCCCTCTACCCCAATTTATTTTAAATTAGGCTTCCAATACCTAATTACCGAGTTAGACTGGGGGGCATTTTTAACCCAATCTAAACCCCCAAACTTCTAGCTGTAACGTTTGTACAAAGCCTGGATGCATTCCAATAGGCTCTATACCAAGAATCTCTTTACAAGTGTATTTTAATTTATACCTAACCTTTTAGGAGCCAAAAGTTACAGGCTCAAATCAGGTGAAATGTGGAATGTAAACACTATGCAGTAGTCATCAGAGGATAGCTTTGGAGAGTTGCCTCTCACCAGTTTCAAATACATGAAATGTTTTAATGTAGTAAAAAAACCCACAAGCTTAGGCTCATGTGTGTGGTCAGTATCGACTGCCAATTTCCCCGCTGCATTATATTACAGTGTAGGCCCACTGCATTAAAGTAATTCTTGAATACTCACCACTGTGCCTAGAAACTGAATGCTTATGTTTCCTGCTGCATCTCGAGAAAGGCACTGAAAGAGACAGATGTAAAAACTAATTAGGAACTTCTCAGTTAGTTGAAGCACTCCTATTTTCTTCTTGTAATGTGCAAAAAAATAACCTACATGAGCTTTAGGGTCTTTCTATAAGCAGAAAGAACAATGAAACTCTTAAATAAGATTTTTATACAATAAAAAAGCATACAATACATATTTAAACTCAAATTGTGGTTATCTTGACAGATGATCTAAATTTCTATTTAGACTCTATTCAAATTCTATTCTCCTCAAATTTATTTTTAAGATTAATGAAAACAAATTTTATCCTTGACAACAGAGAACAACCTTGTATTTTCAGGGAGATAGATTTTATGACTCTTTTCTAGCTCTACCATCTATACATTTTCACTACATGTATTCTGGCATTATCTTAGCTCTCTTTAAACAGTAAGCATACCACTCCCATTTCCCTCTCTCAGACAGAGCACTGTCGATACAAATATTAAATGAGTCTCCTTTGAAAAAAGAATTATTTTACATAACATTAGTGATCTACTAGAATTCAGACTACTGGCACAAGTCTCTAATCGTTCATGGAATACTGTATTGTTATCAAAACAGCACGCAGAGTGAATGGAAGAATATTATTGGTTGCACATTGTGGGTATGTACAGACATCCAGGGAAGTTAGGGGTGGTTAGATCATGTTAAATATAGCCACCTGGTGTAACTTAGTTGACCCACATACAGATCTATGATTATATCCCTAGTTAGGTCAATCTAAAGGGGCAAACTGAAGTGCTCTGGGTCAAGATACAAGGAGGTCATGGGGAGAGGGATTTAATGGTGGGGGTCTACTACAGACCCCCCAACCAAGGGGAGGAGCTGGACCAGGAATTTTCAGGCCAGCTTGCAGAGTCACTTAAGGCAAGGGATGTAGTTGTCATGGGGGATCTAAATTACCCGGACATCTGCTGGGAGGAGCAGTCAGCCAGGTCAGACTGTTTCAGGAGGTTCCTGGCCGAGATACAGGACCTCCACTTAACCCAGGAGGTGCACAGTCCCACCAGAGGAAATGCACTGTTGGACCTGGTCCTGGCCACAGGCAATGATCTGGTAAGGGGGCTCCAGGTCCTTGACCACCTGGGTGATAGTGATCATCGATTGCTGCAATTCATCATCCAGTGCATGGTGTCAAGGGCCTGCAGCAAGGCGGTAGCCCTAGACTTCAAGAGGGCCAACTTCAACAAGTTGAGGAGGTTTGTGGGAGAGGCGCTGGGGTTCTTGAGGGCAGGGGAACTCAGTGCCCAAGATGAGTGGTCATTCCTTAAGGAGACGATACTCAGGGCCCAAGGGATGACGATCCCAACAAGAAGCAAGGGGGGCAAGAGTGCCCAAAAGCCTCCCTGGCTCACCAAGGACGTCCGGGAAT